GGTGACAAAGGGGCGGGTGAGAGCGAGGTCGTCGGGCTGGGGCTAAACGTGGATGAGAACCTCTGGGTGACTCTTGATTCTCGGGGCTCCGAGTCGTCAACATGGGGCGTCTGATTGAGTTGGGGAAGCCCGCCGGCAACATGAGGCCGTCAAAGTTGTCGTCGGAACGCCGAAGGTGCAGAACGCAACGTAGGTGGTGGAGTGAGGGCGTGGATTTGACTTTCCACATGGTCGCTTTTGAGTTTGGAAGGCTTCGTATTTCGTAACCCGGGGCTTGTGGCGTTCATGTTCGGCGTTCAAGGTTTCGTTCCTCACGGCTGAATCGCGCCTGGTCATGAGTATTAAATCCGCCCCCCCGCCCAACCAAAATCCAGGATCCCAAGCCCTCTTGACCATCAATTCCCTTTCATGCTTCCGCACCTCCTGCAACGATGGCCGAGATGAGAACCGAAGAGATACCCCCCTTTTTCCGTCTGCCGCTTGAACTCCGCATCGAAATTTACCGATGCCTTTTCTGGCGAGGAACGGGAGGCCTAGGTATCCCCGACGCTTTCTCACCCTACTTTATGGAGAATCCAATCTCACCCTACTCTATGGAGAATCTAATGCCATTTGGACCATGGCCACCGCCCCTAGAAACGCCTGCCATGTCGTCCCCTGTGGAAGACTTGGACCCGTGCAGGACAATTCCGTCATCTCGACCAGGAAACTTCGGCAGCTTGCTCGCCATGATGCGGACAAACCGGCGTCGGTGGCGAACCTCCCTCTTGCCAAACACGGATACTGATTGTCAACAGAGATATACGTCGAGACCGTCGCCGTCCTCTATGAGGTTAAGTTCGCTTTTCATCCGGGTCTTCTTTCCGTCAATGGTGAATGGAACATGAGATTCCTTCGCGGGGATGGCCCGGCGCGTTTTCTGCGTCAGGTAGTGATCGACCTCCCACCTTTCAATTACCTGCGTACCGCGTGGCCCCCCGCGAGGGAGAGGGATTGGGGATTCAAGTCCGGGGAGCTGTACCACGAGTCAATTTTGCAGGCTCTCGCTCGGAACGCACGCCAGCTCGAGGTGCTGGAGCTAGAGTCACCCTACGAATCCCCCTTCTACCAGCTCACTTCCAGCTGGGAGATTCGCGGCTTGCCAAGTCTCAAGAATGTTGACAACTCGTGGGTTGACCCTCCTCTGCCATACTTGTCGCCGTGCGCCCGGTTTCGGCAGGACCCCCAGTACTCCCCGCCACCACTTTTCGAGGAGCATCTGCCGCCTATTTTGGAGTTGCTAGCCCCCGGCGATGGGGCGCTGCAGGCAAAAATCAGGGAGAAGCTAGAGGATGCGTATCTCAATCTCTATCGACCTCCCGTGGTTGGGGGCTTGAACTTTTGGGTACTTATCTGGAACGCGCTTTGGCATTTTGACCCGCAAAAAACATTCTGGGGAGGAACCATCATGGGCATTTTGAAGTCATTTGGTCCGAGCCTGAGAGTGATTCGTTTGGTCGGCCGAGTGGACGCGAAGTGGATGACGGCCGTGGCGAATCTCACGGGCGTGACGGTGGAGGCGAAGAAGGCGAGGACCGATCTCGAATGGGTCGTGGTTGAGCCTCGAGAGCGGGCATGAGACAGACGTCGTGAGCGGTGGAAGGTATGAGGTCGAACACGGAAGGCACCATCTCCCACCTCATCCACCCGTTTCCATCAAGCCGAGCGGCCCGTGCAGTCATTGCCAAAACCATAAAACGAGCGAGCTGCAGGTCGGAAAACGCAGAAATCTCCCTCCTCCCCCACAAAATATTCCAACGCTTTTAGCCATTGTTTTCAATTCAACACGCCTCCCAACATCGAGTATACGTCCCAACAATTCAATTCAACGCGCTTCCCAACATCGAGTATACGTCCCAACAATTCAATTCAACGCGCTTCCCAACATCGAGTATACGTCCCAACAATTCAATTCAACGCGCCCCCCAACGAGTAAACGCCCCAAACAATGCAATTCGACGCGCCCCCCAACGAGCATACGCCCCAAATAATGCAAACGAACGCGTCAGAGGAGGTCCGGGAGCCGCTCAATACCACGCCTCGACCGATCATGCACTGGCAGACGAACGCGTACATGTATACCTCGAGCGCCGAGGATCGGTCCCGTTTGGCCGACGCAGTGCCCCAAATCATTTCCGTCATCCATAGAGAGCGGCTCTATGAGGATAATCGTCTACTACCACACAACAGGCTCAGTGACGATGAGCTCCGCGGCCTATACAATGCCGGCGTCACGCTGCTCACGGCAATTTGGCCCTTCGGTGCAAGTCGGACCCCGGTCGAACGGGCGAGACGAGAAGAGACATACATTCTCCAGGTCAGCGTGCTGCAATATACTCTCAAGGCCAAGGGACTGGAGATTCTCAATCCTGACGTCATCCGCCTCTCGGCCCTCTTTTGCGAAGTCGCATGGTGAGTGTTCCAACATTATACCGTAATATTCCACAAAATTGGCTTTTACTCGGAGACCGTGCACGCCTTGATGGGTTTGTCAGAGGCCTGTGTTAGCTGCGCAGACCCCTATTTTGGTGCCGTAAAGCTCTTGCAGAACACAGCCCATGGCGTATTTATCGTGCAAGGAGCGCTTGATGGTTTTGTGTAAGGCCTCCGATAAACCTATTGAGGCGTGCACGGTCTCCGAGTAAAAGCGTGTATCGGCTGAGCAATCCCCTGGAGCACGATTTTAACCCTTTACTGACGGGGACAAGGTACACCATTTTCAACTCCAAGGGTGACAACTTGGCCCTGGGACAAGAATCCGCACTCTTTTCACTGCAGGTCCTTGACCGCGTTGCCGACTCCGACCGTGACAATTTGTGGAGTCAGCTGCGAAGAGACAGTTATCGTTATCGAGCCATCATTGAAACCCTTATGGGCGACGGGCATGCAGCCGGGGCTTGCTGGGATTGGATCAAGTGGCTGGAAGAGCGGATCGAAAAGTACGCCGAGCAAGAGGATATCAATATGCGGCCAATTGCCTGCAATGAATACGGTATTGCTCTGATGAGAGTTTTTGGCGAAGCACGAGCTATGGAAGCATGGGAAAGCTCTTGCGGAATGGTCGAGCGGGACACCAAGATGGGAGAGCTGCCGTTCCCGCTTCCGTGGATGAACAAGGCGCTTGTGTTGGCGTATTCAGGAAAGCACCACGAAGCTTTGGTGATTGCGCTCCCCTTTCTCAAGCAGAGGGAGGAGAAACTAGGAAGGGATGACGTATCGACGATTGAGTGAGTACTCTCCATGCCCTGCCAGCCTTCCAGGGACCTGAAAGGAACGGCCTGGCATTCGTGACGCCAAGACGGGGCGTCAGACTGACAGGCGGATATCAGCACCGGGCTGCTTCTCAACTGTATCGGAAACATCTACCGCATGCAGGGTTGTCGTGGCGATGCATATGCCTTTTTCGAGCGGGCCGTAGCCGTGGAGAAGGCCACAATCGGGGAGTGGTGCCTCTGGACCATCGCCTCGTACTATCGGCTCGCCTGTGAGCAGTTTGAACGGGGAGAGTTTGCGCCTGCACGGTTGGTCACAGCTTACCTGAAAATCCCTTCGGACTTAGTGTTGACATTGTGAACTTAGTGACCTGCTCGAAAAGTGTGTCCGTTTTGCGGGTGAGAAACAGTGGTACAAGGGCGTGGCGGCGCGGGCGTGCTGGAAGCTTGGGAGAACCCTGCAAGCGCTTGGCGGGGACGAAAACCTGAAGCAAGCCGGATAGCAACTGGACCGCGCGATGCGGCTGAAGGGGGAGCTTGACCCGTGCATGCGTGATGACAGGCAGGAGGAGCTGGTGGATAATGATTGGGATAGGTTGGTGTTTTATGCCTTCCGGTAGAGCGACTTGAGGATGTAGATTCCACTTCACCAGCGATGCCTTCACCCCTTTTAATATACAGAATTTTGCGGACAACTTCACATCACCATCGCCTTATGCCAGCCAAGACAACCGTATTATTCCACAAAAATGGCTTTTACTCAAATGCCACGCACGCCTTAATGGGTTTATCAGAGGCATTACGCAAAGCCGTAGGGTAGCCTTTGTTAGCTGCGCAAAGGCCTATTTTAGTAACGTAAAGACCTTACCAGATATAACATATGGCTTATTGATCGTACAAGGAGCGCTCGTTGGATTTGCGTAAGGCCTCTGATAAATCCGGTAATGCGTGCACAGTCTTCGAGTAAAGGCCAATTCTTTGGAATAATACGGTACATGGGTCCCGGCTCAGCGTCCAGGGTTACATGGTGTCTTTGCAGGATCTGTCATGTAACGAGCGAAACCTCGCATTTTCAGGGCGAAGCTTGGTATTTTTAGAGGGTAACTGCTATTCTGGCTCGCGGTGTTGTTCATTTATTGTCGGCAGGCGGGTTGTGCAGATGAGCTGCGGTTGAGCTTTGGGGTTTGAACTCGGTGTGCAGAGCGGGATTACATTTGGTGGTGGTGGCGATGAGAATGGAAGGTGGTATTCCTGTTTAACTCTTGTCGATAGCCAGGCCAAGCATGTGAAAGCGAAGTGAAGGTGACGAGAAACGCTGACTGCGCGATATATGTCTCCGGGTTCATCCGGAAGGCAGCTCTGCGCGTTTGCGCAAACCAGCTGACGACCACGCGAAGCACGTTGAAAAAGGGGAAAGTAAACAGACCCCGCATTCTCATTAGCGACCCCTTTCCCGATTGACCTCAAAACCCCTCACACCACACTTGTGAGAACAGTCCGCTGTCCCAATTCCGCAGAGGATTCCCGCCTTTACACAACGGGCCTTTTCGCGCATTCGCGCTGACCAAGGGCCGCGTGGAGAAAAAAAGGGGGCAAGTCAACGAACTCCTCACTCCCGCGCACCTCACCCTTCCCCAATTCCCGGCGATAACACCACCGCACCCCAAACCCCGCACTCTAAAAAAAGGATCCACTATCTCCATCCCTGGTCCCGTGGACTTCTACTCCTCCGTAGGAGGCCAAAAACAATGGGATAACCAGGAATCGAACCTGGGTCCTCTCGGCGCTGTAAGTCGATGACCACAACGAGAAGTACTGACCACTATACTATTATCCCTGATTGTTGATTGGCTGCTTGGGAAATGCACTTTTGATCCTCGGGTGGGTCGGCCAACTTGGCAGACGGGATGCCGACCAGATCCAGGCGAAGCTTTCAGTTTTGTTTACGACGCCGGGGTCTGGTTTGCAGCGTTTGTGTGATCTTATGGCCACAGGCAAGCAGTTATGAGTAACAGGTGGCAGTGGGGGCAACCCTTGGTATATGTACGAGCCGAACTTTGGGGACGCCGACACCCCATTTCGTCACGAAGAATTGACCGAGGCTGCGTACCTGGTTGATGTCAGTGGAGATAATGCCAGCCGGAGCGCTGATCATTGCGCCATTTGCATGGGGATACGCCCTCACCGTAACCTGGTTTTCTTTGCTGATGAATCGGCGAATCTTCCGACGCCTCCTGCTTAGCTTGGGTACGCTCTCGCGGCGGAGATGTTTCGGGTACGGCGAGCTCCAATGTGTGTATTCCACGCGGCAGTCATTGCACTTAGGTGAATGATGCTGATAGACCACGTCTTTCGGCAGGACAGGGCAGGGTAATTACCGATTTCCAGACTCTTCAGCTACCTTGGGTTAACAATGGCCTGCCAAGGAAGCCCAAATGCACCACCACAGCATCATCGTAGTCGTCTGATGATCCGTCCGCACCCATAGGGCCGCTGGTTGGAGAACAACAAAGATTTCCTGAGCATGGGTGTCGGGCTGTATCTCGGGTTGTATAGGCCTTCATTGTATTTCCAAAGGCCCCACCAGCTAGCTAGCTCACCAAAGCCCTGCAAACAAATGATCCAAACGCACCCCACAACATCATCCCAACCCTCTCGTCAACAACCTCACAAGCCATCCTCCTCTTCCTCCTCATCCATCCCATCATCATCCTCACCCTCCTCCCCCTCATCCACTGGCACCCCCACAACCACCCCCTCCCCCTCCCCCCTCTTAAACATCCCCAAAATCTGCCTCGCCCCCGTAGCAGCCGCAACATCCAACGCAGTCCTCTGCATCCCATCCTCCACCAACGGATCCACCCCCCGTTCCATAACCCTCCTAAACCTCGCCACGCTCTTATCCGACATTGACGCCGCGACGGCATGCAATAACGTTTCCCCTGCCGAGTTAACAGCCTTGAAGTCCATCCCCGCCTTGTCGAATAACTCCCAGAGCGCCGCGTCACTTTGTTTCTGTTTCGTGTTATGCTTGGCGTGGGGATCACTGCGTTGTACGCTTCCGCGACGGCAGAAGGAAAAAAGGGGTGTTTCGCCTTCGTTGTTACGCGCGTTTACGTCCACGCCGGCAGCGAGTAGGGATTGGAATACCTTTACCGTGGAGCCAGTGAGTTCGTTGTCCTTGTTGAGCGTCCACTGGCCGCACATGAGGAGATGAAGCGGGGTGTTGCCATTGGAGTCGCGGAGATGCGGGTCCGCGCCAAGGGAGAGGAGGGTTTCTGCTAGATTGACGTGGAGGTAATTGGGCGTCCACCAGGCTGAGTTGCTAGTGAGGGATCTGTGCAGGGGTGTGGATCCGGTAGTGTCGCGGGCGTTTAGTAAGTCCGGGGCGGCGAGGACAATGCGGCGCATGAGACGGGCGTTTTCGGCTTGGTGGTTGCTAGAATTTGGGATGAGGTAGTGCAGAGCGGTTGAGCCGTCGTGGCTGCGGGCATGGACGTTGGCGCCGCGGTCGAGGAGGATGTCGACAGGGTGAGGGAGGCCCTCAAGGGGGTCGCGGTCGTGTTCGGGCTTTGAGCCAGCTCGGCATGCCGTGAGGAGAAGGGTGCGGCCTTCGCTGTCCTGGAGCTCGAGGTTCAGGTCAGGGCGGTCGAGAAACATCCGGACGAGGCGGCCGTGCTGGATGGCGCGGTGGATGACGGTGGTGGTCGGGTATGCGGCATGCGGATCCGCCCCGTGGTCGAGCAGTAGCTGAACCATCTGCTTGTACCTATCCACGTTATGACGCTCGTACTCATCGCCGACTCGGGCCGCGAGGTCAAGAGGATACGGGTTGTCGTCAACTCTCTCCGGGGTAGTTTTCTGCCTCTGCCGCCACATGGTAAGCGGCGCTTTTGACGCAATCTCCTCGGCGTGGTCTTTCTCCTCTTGGGTGCGGCGGACGTTGGGGTCCGCACCGTGCTTGAGCAGCATCTCGAGGATATTCACATTGAGGGCCTTGATGGCCATGATGAACGCCGAGCTGGTCGCAACCGCACCGTTTTGTAGCAGAAGCTGGACAACATCCTTGTTCCCGATGGCTCTCGCAAGACAAGAGTCACCCCTGGAATCGACGGCGTTGACGTCGGCCCCATTACGCACCAAGACCTCGATTGTGTTTGGCTGATATCCGGGCAAGGGAGCACGGTCCAGCGCAGCGAGCAGCGGCGTCAACCCTGCGCCATCTCGGAGTTCGATGTTTGCCCCGTGCTCGAGAAGATACGGCAAGGCGAGATGGGACTGCCACCAGTGTGTTCCTTCAGCCAAAATGTGCAGGGCGCTACGGTCCGGACACAGTTTGCGGTCCGGCCCGAATCGATCCGGGGAGCCCAGACTTTGCGCGTTGACGTCGACACCAAGATCCTTGACCAACACTCGGATGACGTCCATGTTTGGATATTCGGTAGTGCAAGCTAGCATAAGCAGCGTGTAGCAATCCATGTTTGGCCTCTGCTTCAACGCGCCATGGTCTGCTGACCTGCAAAACTTCTCGCGCGGCTCGGGACTCTCGAGCCCGGCGATCAGATCCTTGGTTGCCACCTTCTCCAGCACCGAAGCAAAGCCTCCAACGACAAGATCGTGCAGAATGGTGCGTCCGACATCCTCTGCCTCGAGCCCCCCGTTACGAAGAAGCGTCTCGCCAGCGAGGTCGTAGTCCCTCAGCTCCATTAGCGTCTCACACGCCCAGTGCGGTCCGTATCCCCAGGGAGGTCTTCTTCTTTGATCCGGGGCGACAGTGTGTTTGGAGACCACTGCACGGTTGGCGTCTCGTCGGGCGAAGCAAAGTTTCGATTCGAGCGAGGCAACCTCACCGACGTCCGGGAAAAGAACCTTTCTCTTTCGAGCCAAGCATTCCATCGTGTAATCGTGGTTCTTGGACGCCGCGGTATAGATGATGCTGCTTATCGTTTTCAGGGACGGAGGGAGGTAGGTCGCGAGAACATCCACGACGTCTTCCAGTCGCTCAGGAGGGAGCTTCAAGCCCTTGGTAGTCCTCACCCGCTTTTCATCTCCCAGAAGAACACTTCCAGCTGTGGGCCCTCTATTGCGCTCAGGATCAACATGCATGTCATGTTTCGGCCAACGCGAATGCTCCTCCTCAAAGTCCACGCAAGCGGGCCAGACGTCGCCGAAAGTGCCTAGAACGCCCTCCGAGGCAGCGGCCTCGAGCAAGAGCTGGACGCTGGCAGCCACCCCTGACGCGCAGGCATAGTGCAGCGGTGTACGCCCGGGGTAAGACCGTGTCGTGGAGGTGAGGGCCGACAAAAAGTCTTCCTTGCTGTATCGAGACTTGAGCCAGTCAAGCAAGCTCCCAACGATGTTTGGCTGCCGCGATCGAGCCGCAAGGTGAAGCGGGGTGAGGCCTTCAAGCGTAGTCTTCCGAGGATCTGCACCAGCTTCGAGTAGAACCCGAGTGGTAATCTCGCAGTGCGTCGAGGCAATGTGGAGGGCCGTCACACCTTCGCGGTCGGTTTGATCAACCCCGTGATGGGAATACTGGCCGACGATAAAGTCCAGCATCGTCTTCTTCCTGTATGTGGAAGGGGTCCCTGATGTACCGTGGCGTCTGGGGTCGCGTTTCTCGGGAGAGAGGCCGTTTTTGTAGCTGCACGACAGGTGTAGAGGTGTACGACCATCATGGTTCGGCTGCAAGATGTCGATACCGAGATTAAAAAGCACTCGGAGATGCTGAGGATAGTCGCCCGGCTTTGGTTCCTCGCCCATCTTGACCCCGTTCATCGCGGAGACTCGAACGTGCCAGAGGGTATTCCCAGCATGGTCGGTTTGCTCGGGGTCGAGGCCGTGTTCGATGAACTTGTTGAATGTCTTCTCTTCGTCATAAGAGCCGTATTGACTGAAGCGGTGGCATGGCGTTCGGCCCTTGGAATCCACAGTATTCATCTTCGCGCCAGCTCTAATCATCATGTCCCAGGTGCAGCCAGGGTGAGACGACCACGTGGTCATGAGCTTGAAGAACGGCGTCTGCCCATTTTCGTCTCTGGCTTCCAGGTTGGCTCCAACATCGACAAGGGCACAAAGGATCTTTTCGCAAGCGGCTTGATCGGCGCTAGTACGGCCAACAAGAAAGTGGAGGGGCGTGTCTCCATGGCGGTTGACTGCGTTTGGATCTCCGCCGCACTCCCGTAGCCGTTGAATCAGATGAGGCACGCGGTCGAGCTCGGCTGGCTGGGCCCAGATCTGAACGGCGTAGTGAAATACGCCGTTTTTCGAGTGCGCGTCAACGGGGGCTGTGCTGGCTCCGAGCTCGAGCAGCAGCAACGCGATAGAAATCTTGCTCTTCTTGAGGGCGCTGAGCAAGGGCGTCAAGCCATCTTTATCCGTGCGCTCTAGGTCGGTCTTGGAATCCGCCAGGATCACGCGAAGAAGGTCCTCGTTGTCGCACGTGTGCAAAAGCGTCTCCCCCTGCTTGTTAGTGGCGTTGGGGTCCGCTCCGGCGTCGAGGAGAAGACGGGCAAACACAGGGTCCTTCACATAGTGGAGGAGTGAGCTGCCCTGGCTGTTCACCCGGCTTGCATCGGCACCAGCGGCTATGAGCAGCTCGAAGCACTCAATCATCCGTTCCAGCGGATACTCTTGGTTGATGTGTCTTCCGATCCCTTGCACCAAGGCGTGGAGCGGTGTGTTTTCCCCAGGGTCGTACTCTGAATCGTGGCTGGCCCAGGCATTGGGGTCCGCCCCAGCATCGAGAAGAAGGCGAATTATCTGCGGGTTGAGATTGCTGCAAGCAGTGAACAATACAGTGTCGCCACGCTGTCCTATTGTCGTGTTCGGATTCGC